TTTGATTTATAATTAACTACAGTACATCCAGAAAGTATTCACTGCGCTTAACTTTTGTCATGTTACAGCCTTATTCCCAAATGGATTAAATACATTTTTTACTCAACATTCTACAAACAATACCGCATAATGACAACGTGAAAAAAGTTCATTTTGAAATCTTTGCAATTTATTAAAAATAAAAAACGAAAAAAAAAAAAACACATGTACATAAGTATTCAAAGCCTTTTCCATGACACTCAAAATTGAGCTCTGGTGCATCCTGTTCCCACTGATCATCCTTGAGATGTTTCCACAACTTGATTGGAGTCCACATCTGAGAAATTCAGTTGATTGGACATGATTAGGAAAGGCATAAACCGGCCTATATAAGGTCCCACAGTTAACAGTACATGTCAGAGCACAAATCAAGCCATGTAATCCAAGGAATTGTTTGTAGACCTCTGAGACAGGATTGTATCAAGGCACAGATCTGGGGAAGGGGTACAGCACTGAAGGTCCTAATGAGCACAGTGGCCTCCATCATCCATAAATGGAAGAAGTTTGGAATCTTCCTAGAGCGGCCGCCCAGCCAAAATGAGCGATCAAGGGAGAAGGGCCTTAGCCAGGAAGGTAACCAAGTACCCGATGGTCACTCTGAAAGAGCTCCAGCATTTCTCTGTGGAGAGGAGAACCTTCCAGAAGAACAACCATCTCTGCAGCACTCCACCAATCAGGCCTGTATGGTAGAGTGGCCAAATGGAAGCCACTTCTCAGTAAAAGGCAAACGGCAGCTGGCCTGGAGTTTGCCAAAAGGCACCTGAGGGACTCTTAGACCATAAGAAACAAAACTCTCTGGTCTGATGAAACAAAGATTGAACTCTTTGGCCTGAATGCCAAGCATCATGTCTGGAGGCAACCAGGCACCGTTCACCACCTGGCCAATACCATTCCTACAGTGAAGCGTGGTGGTGGCAGCATCATGCTGTGGGGATGTTTTTCAGCGGCAGGAACTGGGAGACTAGTCAGGATCAAAGGAAAGATGAATGCAGCAATGTACAGAGACATCCTTGATGAAAACCTGTTCCAGAGCGCTCTGGACCTTAGACTGGGGTGACGGTTCATCTTTCAACAGGACAATGACCCTAAACACACAGCCCACATAACAAAGGAGTGGCTAGGGGCCAATTCTGTGAATGTCCTGGAGTGGCCCAGCCAGAGCCCAGATTTGAACCCAATTGAACATCTCTGGAGAGATCTGAAAATGGCTGTGCACTGACGATCCCATCCAACCTGATGGAGCTTGAGAGGTACTGCAAAGAACAATGGGAGAAATTGCCCAAAAATAGGTGTGCCAAGCTTGTAGCATCATACTTATGTACATGTGGTTTTATTTTGTTTTTTATTTTTAATAAATTGCAAAGATTTCAAAACAAACTTCTTTCATGTTGTCATTATGGGGTATTGTTTCTAGAATGTTGAGGAAAAAAATGAATTGAATCCATTTTGGAATAAGGCTGTAACATAACAAAATGTGGCAAAAGTTAAGCGCTGTGAATACTTTCTGGATGCACTGTATATACTGTAAGGATTTGCCAGATTTGATACAAACTGAAAAGATTGTTTAGATAGGTCCTCATATTACATCGTTTTGGTGAATCTAATGGTTGCCATACACTCATCAGTAAATGATCGATTTCTTTTCTGATTAAGCTTTTCTGCTACATAAAATAGATCTACAGTCCATAACCAATTCAATCAATTTGCCACATGGGGGAAGTGATTTCAATCAATAGTTGGAAGCTACGATCATACGACATATCAATCGCATCTCTGCAATCTCATAATCTAAAGGAAAGAAATATGATCGAATTGTTGACCAAAAGCAGCTCAGTGCTTCTGACTGATGGAAAATAAGCAATAATGTTATGCTCTGGCCAATTTACTCAGTTTGATTGAATCCAATCTAAATAGAGTCTAAATGGAAGTTTATGTCTATTCAATTGCTTTCCAGTTCAATTGATGAGATCGCACATTGACAATAAAACCAATGCTTGTACAGCCACCATAAAGGATATTGTATAATTAGATTCTAGAGTGTGTGGCCAGCTTTAGTTAACTGACAGTGAAAAATTTCATCCAGGTGGAGGAATCCTCCTCTGTGGTGCACATACCAAGCACCACCCACCAATTGTAAGCAAATTCTAAGTATGCATGCATGCGGGGCATAATGGAAGGGTACAGTGTCTCTGCCTTGAAGTCTGTAGCAGCAGAAGTCAGCAGGGCAAGAGTGCCATCAAATGCATCCCAGAGGCTCTACCTCAATTTCCCAGGTTGACTTTTGGAAGGTATGTTCCTTCATTCTGAATGCCAAGCCAGATTGTATTAAGGTGTTTTTATAGACAAAACATTTGTTTTTGGTTTTGGATAGAGCAGGGAAGGGTTAAAACCTCAGTTTGCAGACCTGTCTGTATTCTGCAGGGGGGGAGAGAGGAAATCTCTAAAAGCAAAGGGAATTCCCATCTTAAAGAGCTGTCACCAGGACAGGTGTCCCAGTTAGAAGTCTTCCCCTATCCTCTTGTTCTCATGACAACGGTCTCATTTTTTTCTACACTGTCCAGGCCACAAATGGGAGAAAATTTAGTATACAGTATATAAAAAAAAACAGCTATAAATATCAATTTTAGGTGGCTTTAGTAGGTTTAAGTCAGCCTTCCCTCAACCTTTTTACTCCAGAAGAACCCCTAAAATAGTTCTCATGTCTTTGGGAACTCCTACTAAAACCAATTCATCGGGGGTCCATGGTGACACACTGGTGTTCAGTAGGAAGAATGCAACCTTTACAGTGATCAGAATACCAACCTTACAAAGAGTGAAATATAATTGGGTCATTCTGCTGGTTTTGACAAGCAACTTTGTCCATGGAGCTATATAGGCACTATCAAGTGGGGTGCTTAATCAGCCACTGCACAAGGAACCCATAGTAACCTCTGGAGGAACCCTATGGTTCGAAAGAGCCCTGGTTGAGAATGGCTGGTTTAAGCACTTCTATATTTCACAGACTACATTGGAGAGAGTTCCTCCCAGTAATGTGTCTCTCTGCTCCTCACATGAAGCCAAAGCAAGGTGTCAAGTTTTCATCTCAATTATTTGTTTATGCTACATCAAGGGAGGGTAACACCATCAAAGGAGCTGGCAATTCTGGAAGCCTTAAAGAGACCCCCTTGAAAGACCATTCATTTCAACAATAATTTCATATAAGAATATATGTGCATTTATTGTATTTTATACATGTTTTTTATTAGTAAAAGCCTTGCTTGTGTAGACATCCAAAAGCCCTGAGACTGCTCTTGGGTGCCCTCATCTTGGATGTAATATCAGCAGCACCAGCAGACTCAGAACTTTCACTCAATTGACACTCTATAGTATTCCCCGTCACTCCTCCCCTGGCAGCTACATACAGGGTTATGTAGGTGGGTGAGGGGTGGAGGAGCTGGTTCAGCACAGACAGTAAATAGACACTCCCAGTAGAGGAGAGGGTTATGATGTGCAAGTAGAGAGGGGCTGTCTTAGGGAATTGACTTTTCCTGGAGTAGTCAAATTTAATAGCAAGTTCAGAAGCACATTGCAAGTGGAGAAAAATGATTATAGAAAGGAAAAAAGCTGCAAGTGAGCATTTCAAATACCTGATATGTTTGTGCTTTTACTTAAAAATGTGTGAGCTGGTAACAATGTCTCTTTAAAGTGAACATGTGCTTTGATCACACAGGATTCACTTCAATCTAGCCACTCCCCAGGAACACATAATTACTTTTCTCTTACTACTCTGCCACTGTTTATCTGCGGGGATCTCAGAAAAGTCCCAAGAAAGCTGCGAGTCAGTGGAATTAAATTTTTCATCCAGGAATGGTACCTGCTAACCCCCTTGAAAATGTCATTGTTTAATTATTACATAGGGTGAGGATGTGGTCTAAAAGAGGAAGAATCCTTTAAGATTTTATGCCCACTTTAACACAGAGATACTTAGCACATTTATCGTTAAATGACGCTTGGTGCAGAAATATTTGCAAGTGTTGAAATCAGTTGGAATAAATGTGCATACAAATACTCCATATCAGTATATAGTGCAACAGTTTAGAATGGCTTCTACAATGATGGAAGGCGGTTTATGGTTTCCACCAACAGGGAGTGGAAATGAGCCCCAATGGGAGGGATTCCAATGCACAATAATGCGTTCACTTAACCGTTTCCCTTTTTTTGGGGGAGAAAAGATGCGTCCCATTTGTTTATTGTTTTGACCTGCTGGCCAATCAGTTCTTTGGGATGGCTGGAGCAGTCTATTGAGCTGCCAGTGAGATAGGTCTATGGTTTTCGGGTCCTTTTCTTTTTTGGATCAATCTCCAAGTCAAGTCCTGGTAGGGGAAATATCATGATGGCCAACCTCACGTCTCCCTCAGCCAGCCCAGTCACTCCTCACGGATTACAGACTCTTCCAATTTATCAGCTGTAGACAGCCAAAGGTCTCCATTATCGCGTGTGTGTGATATACTTAATAATCGCCGCTGTGTGTTGTCCATCCCTCAAAATCAAAGTCCTTTTCATGTAGTTCCTTTCCTTTATACACATATAAAAATATATATCTACATATATATATTTACTTTTATACTCTATACATATATATCTGCCTCTGTTTTTGTGCTGGGGAAGGAGATGAGGGCACGGCGGAGCGTGGTTGTCGTGGGGAAGGGTGGCTTAAGAGCAGCACAGAGAAGCACAAGTCGCTTGTGAGCGCTGTCTTATTTGCACACATACTGGTCTACAATTTCCGTGCATTTCTTGCATTTGACGAAGCAGCACCAGTGGAACTTGCAGTGACAGCGCTCAACCTGCACCGTCTTGAACTGATCATAACCCCGCCCGCAGCACATCAGTTCACACCCATCCATACCCTCCGAGGTCTTGTTGCAGAGCCGACCCTGTGTGCCAAGGGAGCCTGTGGACTCATTGCGCAGGCAGTAGTCCGGGCTTGGGTCTAGATACACAAGATCATCCGCAGTGGGAGCGTTAAAGCGCTGATTGACCTGTTCCAGTTTGCTACGTTTATTAAGTCTCATGGCTGCTGCGCTGTCATATTTCTCCTTCAGGTACTCGCCCACCTTGCGGAAGTCAGCCAGCTGAAGCCAACAGGTCTTCAGGCTACAGGAACCCGAAACACCATGACACTTGCAGGCCACATCAGCCAATTTATACACAGCCTAGAGAAAAGAAAATTGACAGATTAGGAAAAGGAAATAGATTATCTGTCATTAAAAGTTAATAATGCTGGACATAGGTCAATTTTTCAATATAAATATACTTGTCATTACAAGTACAATATAAATGCAAGCTTCTCTTAAAATAAGTGTAAAACCTAAAGCTGAAGTTTATTCCACTCCTAATATTAACCTCCCTGGTTTCTTTCTTCCCCCTTCATCATCATGCTGATGACATCTTTAAATAAAACCTTTCCTTTTTTATTACATACCTTATTTAGGACCCAGTGATGTCAACACTGGGTCTCTGTGCTTCTCAATGCAATGCAGTCAGCTCCTGGATGGTTGTTAGCTTCCAGTAAAAATTACAGCACCCTGAATCAGTACTCCTCTCAAGAGCGCTCAGCCCTGATGTAAGCAGTGGACTGGCTCTGAGATGAATTATGCAAATATCAAAATGCCTTGATGGGTAGATGTCAGTTTGGAGGAATGAATTAATATATATATATATATATATATATATATATATTCCAGTTGTGTTAAAGAAGAGTGGGAAATCTTCATATTTAAAGAAGAGGGTAAAAAGCTGAAAGTCCTCTTTAAGTCCTAGTCATTAGTACAAGGACCACAAATCACAAACTGAAATCTGGTGCAGTAACTAGCAAGAACCAGTAGGTGGGGCTATGTGAGTTAAAGATAATAGAAACCTCGCTATGTGTAGCTGTACAGAGTTGGTATTTAAGTGTATGGTCAAAGAATTCCTATTAAAATAATATATGAAACAATTTTTCATTTATTAATTTTTTGCATTTGAGTCTGTACAGCATTGCAATTACGATCAGTAGAATGCCGATGGGGAGTAAAATCCTAAATTTCTGTAACTGGGGAGCTGTGCACAGTGACCAAGTTTTATGTTACACCCTAAATATGGGTGTAATATGAATCATGGTCTGAAAGGTGGAGTTTGCCTTTAAGGAGTTTTCTAGGTTTTGATTTTAATGATATTAAATGAAATGTTGAATGAAATATAAACATATCTATTAGATTGTAAGCTCTTATGAGCAGGGCCCTCTTAATGCTCTTGTTATTATTGTATTGTAACTGTATTGTCTCCCATTATATTGTAAAGTGCTGCACAAACTGTTGGCGCTATATAAATCCTGTATAATAAAAATGTTAAGGATGAGCATGCATGTTTATATACTGTTCAGACTCCCTTTCTCCCAGAATCAGTATATATTGGGATTGAATTACGAAAGGCAAATAGACTGTGCACTTTGCATAAGTAGTTGCACTCACTTTGCTTAGTAAATGTTATGTGGTAAAGCTTTACTTTGTAAAGAATACCCAATCAGGTGCAGGGAAAATAAAAAAGAGCATTTTTGCTTGCATAGGATTGGAAGATAGAAATTAGCAGAGCTTTACCACATTCACTAAGCTCTGGGGAAAAAAGAGAGTACAACCAGGGTCGGACTGACCATTCGAGCACTCGGGCAGTGCCCGAGGGCCCGGATGCAGTAGGGGGCCCCATGAGATGCCCCTGGTACCTTTCATTGGCTTTTTCATAGGCTTTTTTTGGGTGTGGGCGATGACACAGGGGCCCCATGATCCCCTATTACCCGGGGGCCCCATGAGTTGTCAGTCCGCCCCTGAGTACAACTGTACTTGCAAAGAGCACAGTCTATTTGCCTTTAGTAAATCCACCCCAGTATTTCTATGCCTTTGTTCAGATGTGCTGCAAGAAATGCCACTCCTCTGAAATGTGATCCACATTCAGTTCACTCCTCAGAGACATTTGACAGGCAGTAAGGAGGCGTTATGCTGCGTCTTCACTACTTGATTTCACCTTTTAAATGCCACACTACTGTGCTACTATCACATGCATTGCAATAGCAGGGCAGGTTGCAGGGCAGCCCCATAGACCTGCATAGTCTTGTTCAGAGGAGGCAACATCTGCAAAAAGGGACATGTTGCTTAATTTTTGCAACAGCTGCAAAGCACAGCATTTATGCAGCCATGAGTGGCTGCATGTCACCATTCAGGCAGGTGTGTCTCACACACAGTAAAACTAGGGCTCAATTGGCTGAATTTACTGCCCCTTAGCTACACATGTGAATGGTCCCTTAGGGTCTACTTACACTTCTGCATTACTTCCACAATAAATTGTCATTAAACCCACATCATAAAAAATTATCAATAAAGTCTGTATTACATGTTGTTCATACTCACTCATTCACTATGGTATTAGTTTTCTGTATTCTGCAAAAAAAACCTGGTTGATCCTGCTGCTCTCTCTCCCTTCTGTTCAATGCAACTGGGGATTTTGCAGAGCAGTGTTGGCAGCTACTGCACATTCTCAGTTTCCAGTGAGTTTCTATGCTTCACATTTCCTCACTATCATATTTGAGCAGCCCATATAACTATCTATAGAGTTAAACTTGTGGGCATAAATGATAGCCTACTCCCTCCCTCCTCCTCCTCCATGCCCAGTAACCAGCTGAACACAATGGGGGGCGGGATATTACATCTTGATTGATGGAGGCTTCATTTTCCCCTGTTTTTCTAAGACACAGGCTGGAGGAGTGTGACACAGCCTGCGACTGGTAGAAATCAGCTCAAACCATGTTATTGCCAAAAATAATAAAGATTTTATTTCAAAAATATGTATTTGTATAATGATTTAAAACCATTTATCCACTTGACCTCCGAAATATTTACCCCCCCCCCCCTTCCTGACCAGGCCATTTTTTGCGATACAGCCCTGTATTACTTTGACAATTGCGCAGTCATGCACGCTGTACATAAATGAAATGTATGTCATTTTTTCCCCACAAATAGAGCTTTTGGTGGTATTTGATCCCCTCTGCGTTTTGTTACCTTTTGCATTATAAACAAAAAAAGGACATTTTCACTTAGGGGTGTACTCACTTTTGTTGCCAGTGGTTTAGACATTAATGGCTGTGTGTGTTGAGTTACTTTGAGGGGGACAGCAAATTTACATTGTTATACAAGCTGTACACTCACTACGTCACATTGTAGCAAAGTGTCATTTCTTCAGTGTTGTCACATGAAAAGATAGAATAAAATATTTACAAAAATGTGAGGGGTGTACTCACTTCTGTGAGATACTGTGTATCTAATATATATAAATATAATTTTCTACTATAAAGCATATCCAATAAAAAAAAAATTTAAATCTAACTTCTTTATAAATTTAGGCCAAAATGTATTCTGCTACATATTTTGGTAAAAAAAAAATCCCAAGCAGCATATATTGCTTAGTTTGCACAACAGTTATAGCGTCTACAAACTATGGGACATATACTGAATTTTTTTAATTTATTTTTTTTAATACTAGTAATGGCAGCGATCAGCGACACTTTGTGGGAACCAGTGACACTAATACAGTGATCAGTGCTAAAAATATATGCACTATGTACAGACACTGTGCTAATGATACTGGTTGGGAAGGGGCTAAAGATGATAAAAGGGTTAACTGTGTGCCTAGCTATGTGCTTGGTGTACATTTGTTCACATAGGCAGAGCTCTGTTCTGTGTCCTATCTGATGATCGGTGGTTAGCAGCAGACATCCATTCAATGGCACTCGCAGATCGGCTTCTACTGTGAGTGTTCACAGCAAAAGTGACCAGCCGGCAGCATGCACGCACGCACCCCCCTATGGTGGAAGTGCAAAATCATGTATATATAGAGAGCCACCCTGTAGTAGTAAAACTGCTATAGGGTAGACCTTAAGTGGTTACTGGTCTGCATCCCAAAGGGTGTTTTTTTTTTTATTTTGAACATGTGACAAGTAGCAGAGGACCCTGTTTTATTGATTGCATGTAATATTCTAATTTTCTGAGATTGTGGTTTTTTGGGGTTTTCATGAGCTGTAAACCATAATCATCACAGTTATGACAAATCACGGCTTGAACTATCTTGCTTTGCATGTAATGAGTCTATCTCATATATTAGTTTCACCTTTTAAGTTGCATTACTGAAATAAATTCACTTTTGCACGATATTCTAATTTTTCAAGTTTCACCTGAATGCTATATTTTGGCATTTTACAGAGTAGAGTAGGGACAGGCCAGAGAGGGATTACTTTGATACAGTTGTCCAGCTTGAACATGTATTGCAATACATGCGACACGAGAATCCTTATTTTTTGGCAAAGCTTTGCTAGAAATATTTTATTATTTAAGGGTATATTACCATGTGCAAAGGGTTAGTTCAGAATTTTCAGCATAAAGACTATGTTAGGCTAAGAAAAAAAAAATCTGCAATTCGCAGCAGTGATAGCTATAAGTGTGCCAAGTTCAGGTAACAGGTAACAAAGTCCTGTCTTGTTTGCAGTAAGGATAAGTGTGAAGAACTATACAATGCAGTGAATAGAACACTGAGGATCTCTATTTGATATTCCTTGGAAGTGGAAGAACAATGTGGAAGAGTTAAAGGAAAAGAGAAAAGAGTTACACAAGAGTTTATTTTCTGCCAACTCAAAGACAGCTCGACCATTTCCACATTAAAGCCTCAGCTTCCTCACATAGGAACTCAGCAATTAGGATACACACAGGGGGTCTTACATCTAGGGAATAGAACAGAAGTCACTTCACTGAGATCACACATCAAATAATAAGATGGGGATCTGCTCATTCAAAGGGCTGGTAAGATAGAACAGAGGTTCCTACACTGCATGCTGCCTGCAAGTGTGGGGAGTTAATTGAGCATCATTTGTTCCAATCCAGTTAACTCCCTATGGGAGCTTTGGAGGGGTTTGTTATAGAAAAGGCAGCAAGAAAGTTGGGGCAGTGTGTACAAATGCAGTAATAGCTGGTTATGCTCAGGGTCAATGGTCATCAATAGAGATTTGTAATTTATAAATGTTTAGGGACCCATTTACATTTTTGTGGTGCGTTAATGCGCATTATGTTGCACATTAATGTTCACTGTATTAAGGCAGCCTTTTGAAAATAATGGGCTGCCAATGCCAAAAAAAGTC